GCCAGTGCTATATTACCTACAGTGCACATTTTTTTTGGTCTATCTCATATTCTACGTGGACTCCAAGCAGCCTCGGTGTAAAAGCAGATGAAATGATTTCTTTTTATCACTCACTTTTTCTCGTGAGAAGGAGAACTCCTTGGCCTTGCCCTCTCTACTGGCTTCCTCTTAGCACAGTCATTTGCATCTTGGCAAATGGGGTCTATAAAATGCTACTGAATTAAATCAGCAAAGTGTTTAATCATATTTATTTTGCAATCACTGTGATAGACTCTTTGCCGGTCTAAATAGCTGCAGTCTCGTTGATTGGAGTGGAGTTTTCCTTCTTTGCATGAAAAAGGAATTGGCTCAACCTGGACAGGTGGCCAGAAGTCGTTACAGATGACAGACAGCAGAGGATCAGTCCTTGTGATTTCAGGTCTGATTGCAGTTGTTTGCAATTCTCTTCTACACTCATGGAAGACACTTTATGTGTTAAAACTTGCTGCAAGCCTTTGATATCTTTGACCTTTTTAAAAAAGTCTTTTAAATTTTGATATTCCCTAAGAAGACAGATGGTATTTTTTGATTGAATAGATAGAGATTTCGTGTCTAAACGCATCTCTTGGTTTCACTTTGTGGGACTAGTTAACTGCTCTCTCCATGTTCTATGCTCCGCACAATCTTTTCTTGTAATTTGTTTTTGAATGATGCTGTCAAAAGTTACAAAGAATTAAATGTGCAGAAATCCCCCTGGGAAACATTAGTGATGTCCTGCTAGCGTCTCCCTTTGGATCCAAATGTGAGTATTCAGGTACATAGAGCCCCACCCGCAACTGCACTTCCAAGCCAACAACTGCCCTTGATACCTTCTGATTGGAACAAATGTTTGACTCCAAGTGCCATGAGTAACCAGATACAGATCCTCTGGAAGTAGGTAGGGAAGCTGTGAAAAAATTGCAAAGCCTGTCAAAAGCTTTGGCTCTGGAGAGGGTGAGAAAGAGCCCTCCAAGTACTGATGCTGAACCCGGAGTGCGCTGGGTGCAGTGCATCTCTCGTGGTTGCAGTCTCATGGAACAACAGCTGAAATAGCAGAACTGGTGCCCTATTTTCTTCTTCCATCACCTGAATAAGTCATCTGGAAACAGGGCTAACGATACATTTTCAACAAGATAAGGAAATCCCTCTGAGCAGTTCGTGTTTACAGCACAATCATAAAAATCCTGGCAAAAAATCAAACCCTTTCCCTATCAGTTCAGCACACAGCGTTGCTAGCACGGTCAGTGTCAACAGTTAAATAGCTGGTGCAGGGGCAGAAGACAGACGCTGCTGTGTTCTTGGTGCTGCAGCTCAGACAGAAGATGAAATCATGGTAGTTCAGCATTGGGTGAAGACTTTACTGATTTTCTGTCTTTCTGTTTACACTGGAATAAAACCTGCTTGTGCTTGAAGAAGATTTTGGTTGTTAGGAATCTGTATGTATGTGTCTGGCCCTAATTATTTAACAAAACCTTCAAACCCAAAAAGTACAAATACCTACTTTTGCAGAGCTGTAGAAGAATGTAACTATAGTCTTTGCTTGATGGTGAGATGGTTGCAGCACTGTATTTTTAAGTTTGTTTTGGTTTTTTTTTACCATAATGGTCAGAGGGTGATTTTGAATGACTTAAAAACAGGTGCATGGTACAGGAAAAAAACAGCAGGCCATATTTTTGGCCCTGGCCATATTATTTATGCCTTTAGCGAGTGCCACTTCTTTGCTCATCTGGTATTTAAAGATTTACTTGTTTTCTCTACATAGTACAGACCCAGGACACATGGCTGAAACTGCATATGGAGCATAGAACATTTATTGGAGAGGTGGAAAATATGTCTGCTTAATGTAGTTTCAGATTTTGTCTTAGGTCAGGAACAAATTTTTCAAATTTTCAAAGTATTTTGGCATGTTGATCTTTGGAACATTTTTGTGTTTACTTCAGACACTGTGAATAAAGACAATAAGAAAATTTTCAAAACAGATTGTACGCTTAGTCTGAATTAAATCAAAAGCCAGATTTCATACAGGGACTTTAAGCACTTGGTACTTTAGGAGATGATAATTTCCAGAAGGGTGGTTTTCTTTGGTGGTATTCTGAATGTCCCAGTTTTTGGCTGCCAGACTCGTAGGTTGAGACCCCCCCCCCCCCCCTGCTGATCCATATCATCTGAGATCTGATTCTATTTAATGAATCTCAAATTGAGCATCCAAAAGCAGAAACACTCTAATTCATTAATCACTGTGAGAGATCTTGGCCTAACCATATCAATTAAGAACAATAGCTCCCTAGTAGAAAAGAATCATGACAACGTGTTTCCAGTGACAGTCATGATATTATTGGTCACTTGCATTTATTTATCAAAGATATACCCTTTTTTCACTTTGGAAGTGTAAATCAACATCACCGTGACTTTGGGTACCTTGTGTGTCTGCGTGTTTATATGTGTTTTAGGCTAATGTTTAATGACATGTCCTTCAAAGGTCTCTTTAAAAATCCAAGTCTTGGTCTAATAAGATGGAGACTTCGCTGAAACACGTCATAAATGCGGTGCTAGAATATTTGCACTAATATTCTAGGCAGCAGAATATTAGTGTAAAACTGGTGTTGCTGCTAATAGACTTTAGGTTATTACACTGTCAGCTGAAAGTTTGTGAGTTTTAAAGAGGTTTTTTGATAAAACTAAAAGGTGTTGTAGAAATGAGATGTGGAACATTTTGGAGAAGGGTGCAGTGCTATACATAATTTATTGGGCACTGTTTGTATAGTCAGTTGTTAAGTTATAAATAAAATACAGCCTTAAAACAAAAGTTATTTCCTCTGTATTTCTATTTTGAAAAAAAAGTTTCCAAGCTTGTTCAGACAGTCACATTTTGGTTTGGCTATTGATATTCACAGTGCTTTGTCTATTTTTGGATGTATCGCATTGAAGACTTTCATCTTTGCCACACAGAGAGCCTTTTCCTCTGGTAAATCTTCCGCAGGCTGCTGGACAGTTTCTACAGCTCTGTGAGGTGCCCAGGCACAGCCAAGGGGAAACCAAGGGGAGGCAAATGAGCCTCTGTCATACCAAATTTCCAAGTCCCAGAGCTACTGAAGAACAGTTAGACTTGCCTTATTGACATACGGTCCCCCGATCACTTTCCATTTTGATTCATTCCAGTTTGGCACCTACCATTGCGGTACTTTCCCCCATCCCATCTGAACCTCAGATCCCATTTCTTTTAGGCTGAGGGCACCGAGGGTTGGCACAGGGACCAGCTCTACAGCCTGCACCAGACAGATGCTTATTTTCTGCAACAGAGAAGTTCCTTGAACCGGAGAAATGCTGAACCCATTTAAGATCATTAAAAATGAGTTTAGTACATTTAAGAATACAGTCCATATACTTTTTAGAATAGTTTGTTATAGATCTTTGAATTGGTGCTCAGAATGAGAAGAGAAAGAGGTTTCTCCTTAGAGCCTCTGAGCAGGCTTTTTACCAGTGGTGGTGGTATTTCCTGAATGTGAGTAGGAATAGCACAGGGTGGGCCTGATGAAACAACAGGGGTAAAATATATCATTTTATTACATCATGGGCTAAGCATCCCTTGCAGGTACTGCGGAGCAGCAGGAGGTGCCTGGGTTGAAATCTCCTAGTTTTCCTACAAGTGGTGCTGATGCAGAGCTGCGATACTGAGCAAAAACATTCTGGCTGCTGAAGAGGAAAGACATGACCAATCTGAACTTAGGAGTGAAACATTTCCTAGAACTGAGCCTGAATAAATTCTGGAACAGTTGAACAGGAAATAAGCTAATAATGGGATTTTACAATATACATTTCCCATATAAGGCATTGAAATGTAGCATGGGTTTGTTTGCTGATCTTCTGGCTATTTTGATGAAAATTTTAGGTTTCTTCACTGTTTGTGCTCTGTGATGATTGTGAGGACTTTGCTCCATTCCAGGCTGAAGTGTTTCATCTCGCTGCTGTCGTCAGTGGTCCCTGGATGGACCATTCCTAGACCAGACCAGGGAAGAGACTAGTTAACAATTCTTCCTTGCTGCCTTTTGTTTGTGTCGGGAGCTATTTCCTTTAGCCCTTGAGACTGATGCATAGGAAGGGGAAGAGAGGTGGGGAGTGCCTGTCTCGGTGCAGTTCATGCTTCTGAAAATAAGTTCCCCAAAATCTGATGTGGGGAAAGGAAGCCCTGGCTCCAGGGAGCCTGCTGTCTCCCTCAATAAACAAAGGACTGGATTTGGGCAAGTTGCCCAAAGTGTTGGTGCAGGGTGCGTTCCCGTCCTTACAGCTCTGCCTGGCCTTTTAAGGATATGTGACAGTATGCTGGAGACCACAGTAAGGTGTGTAATTCAGCGATGATTAATGAGCATGAGGCTCTTCTGCAGCTTCGATGTTTCTGTAGCATTGGTCAAATTCGCTTCTCACGAGTAACTCACTAAGATTTTCAGAGTTTGGCCTCTTCTGCACTGTGAGTGCAATCTCTTGCCAGCTCTTATGCTACATTAATTTAAAGCCATCTACCTTTCCAAATGTGCTCTGTATTGTGGAACAGGTTTTGCTTGTAAATGCGAGGCCAGATGTTCAGAAGAGGAGAGCTCCCGTTTAGGCATCTAGCAATTACTGCTGTGACACATACTGATCGCAGCTGAAAATCTGAAATCTGTCTGCTTAGACAATAAAATACTCAAGCTGGCTAGTTTGTGCAGTGCTATAAGAAGTGGCCTGTATGCATATAATTCAGGAGTTCTTTCAAAATAGCATGCACTGAATCACGGTCTCACTTGGTTTTAAACCACAGCTTGTGCCAAACTAGTTATTTTGATTTCTTGCCAAGCAGAGGCTCACTTTCTAGTTACAACTAACATTTTCCTTTTCTTTTTCTGCAAAATCTGTTAATGAAAGCTAAATGACACAATGAAGGTAGGTCTACTGGCTAGATAAGAAATAGGTCTGATTCATTGATAAGTGGTTCTTTTCTTTTCCAGTGACATATTCGATGCCATGTTCCCCGTCACACACATCGCAGGAGAAACAGTCATACAACAGGGTAATTCTTCCCCTTGTTTTTTCCCTTGTGTGTTTGCTAAGATTGTACAATTCACATCTTTTCGTTTGAGATTTCACCCCCTTTACTTAACAGGAAGAATAACCATATTCGAAAAGCTTCTAAGTGTGCAGCCACATCATAAGTTCTTGGATGCAGGTCTTTTGCTACATGTGCACAGATCTACAAAACCACACCGGTAGATATCCAGGGTTTCAAAGTGCTACAGTTAAATGTAGATCAATAGCATTTCAAATTAAAATGCGCATTCCTTACCTGAAGATAGTCAGGAAGTAAAGCACAGCTCAGAATGCATAAGGGTGGCACAGGCTAGCTGAGAGTAATTAGCGATGGAAAATATTTTTATGGTCGTTGGGAATGTTCAACACCTCATTGTGCTGTATCGTAGTTATCGCACTTGGCAATTTACCTGCCTGCCTGCAGCGTGTTGGGGAGGACTTCATTACCCTCAGGCTATATTGAAGCCTCTCATGTGTTTACACTGAATGAAGTGTTGAATCAATCAAAAGAGATAAATTAATGCAATTGAAAGATATTAATAGGAAGAAATCATAGCGATATTTTGATTCATGAAGGTAAATAGGCAAGGATGTTTCAGAAAATGAACCTCTCTGTAAGTAATCTGGTGTACAAACCTGCGCAAATATGTACAGGATTAAATATGGAGACAGGAAATTATTGAATAGTTTAGCAGACCTTCAGGAAACAATCACCTTTTGTATTTTGCTTCCAGGTGATGAAGGAGACAACTTCTATGTGATTGACCAAGGCGAGGTGGATGTAAGTACACTCTTAGAGTATAATATTTATTCTGAAGCTACATAATAAAATTGTATGCTCTGGCACACAGCTCTATCCAGCCACGTGCTGTGGTTCTGTCTCCTTTCTTCTTGAAATAGATTTCACAGGATTGGTCTCATTACTTTGCTTTTGTTGTGTTAAGTCATTTGTGCATAATTTTGTAATTGGCATGTTTTACATCCTAGTTTATTTCTCCATTCCAAGCAGGAAAATATGGTATCAAAACCAAGCAAATGACATTATCTTTAGAACCCTAACCACACCTGGAGGTGTGCAGTCTTTGGCAGAGCAGGCCACCATGTTGGAATGCACCCGAGGGTTCAGATCAACCATAAGAAAAATATTTTCTTTAATCAGTTAGTTTAGCTCATGTGTTGGGTTTTTTCCCCGAATTGAGATACAGCCTAAGGCAGTGAGTTTCATCTTAGAAACCTTAATTTGCTTTTAAAATTAGGTCCAAATATATGAACAATGCAGCATATTAATAAAGTAAGGATTATTATAAGTGTAAAGTGATCTGTTAGACCACAAAATGTTTACAGGAGTAGGTGGTGGTTTAATCAGCAAGTCTTTGAAAAGAAGCTTCTTTCTGAACCTGCCTTCCAAATCGTAATCTATTCACCTCTTATCATTTTTATCCCATATGAAACTCACACTTTTGCAGTTTTGCTACAAGTTCCTCATTTCACTGGATTTTCTACACACACCTTATGTATCCATAGTTGTCGGATGGGACAGGCTTGCTCATTAGCAGCATTGCTCTTCGGATGCCCAGATGAGTTTTGTTTGGCATATTTAAAGAAGAAAGTGATTTATTTTAAATGCGGGCAGGAGGCATACGGTTATTTTAGTGAAAGTTTTTTTTTTTTTTTAGCAGTCTGTTTGTGTCAGGAGACCATCTAATTGGTATTGTTGGGAACTGAGAAACCTCACATGCTGCCTCTGCCTCTGGAAGTTGCTTCTCAGGAAATCCGTCTGACTCACTGTTCCTATCAGGCATACCTCTCAATAGCAAACATTGCCACATCCACAGGGCCAGAAAATAAAAGAGCAATTTTTATAGAACAGCGCTAAAATTTATTTTTAAAATAATTGGTTAGGGCCTGGTACTGACCTTAATGAGTTCACTGGCTTTGAATCAGACCCACAAACCTGTGCAAATGCACATACTGAAGTTATAGATTAATCCTCTTTAAAAATAATTTGTCCTCACTCAAAACCTTTAGGAAAGCTTTCTTCAGTGTGTGGCTCAGGGATAGTGGGGGACCAAATGACATCAGAAAACAGTCTGCAAAACCCTTGCAATTAATTGCAAAAAAGGTAATCTTCCATATGCACATACTGCTCTTACAAAGAAGTGACAAAATGGGGAAAATACATGTCCAGAGCCTAGCCAGCTTTGTGTCTGCTTGTAAAAAAAAAAAAAAAAGGTGGTTTGTGGATTTTCTGTAACTGGTGGTTGCCAGTAGTGGCCAAGGTGGCCACGGCTCTGCAAATGTTGAGAAGGACTTGTTCAGAGCACCAGTTGCTGTATTCTCTGTTGGCTAAGATGGCATCTTAGTTCCCTTCCCAGGTATATCATGGCGTCTACTCAGAAACACCTTTACTGTGTCATGTTACTTGTGTATCAGAGGTCCTCCTTGTTTTTTTATGGAAAGTTGAAATTCTTTCATCTTGACCACAAGAAGAGACAAGCGTCCAGATCATTTTTCATTGATGGTTTCTTGAGTTCATTAAAGTCTTATGCAGAATAATCTTATATTTCCCAGAACATTTCAAGGGCCTTTGAGGTTTCTGGGATAGGATTTGGGGTAAAATCTGAAAAACTACCACAGTGACTAAATGGCCTCAGTGCCACTGCAATGCAATTACATGTAGGCTTTTGAGTTGTATAGGTGTTCTTGAAAATTTTATCCCAGACCCCTGATTTGACAAGCTACATAAGCACCAGTGGGCCGTTAAGCATGTAAGCAATTCTGCTGACTTCAGTGGGACTCACTGTTTTGCTACATGAAGAGCATAGCGCACAGCTTTGTTTTACGCTGTTAGAGCTGAAGGCAGAACTTTTCTTTGTATTCCCAGCAGTTTGCAGTCCTCCAGTCAGTTATGTATGATATAGGATATACATTTTTCCTGCCTTGTCTTTAAGACTTGCAACAGCAGATTTTCTAAGGAATGAATGAAACACCTGCGTTTCTCTGAGTAAATTGCAACTTCGTTTTCACGAGCATTCTCAATCCTTACTCCCCTAATTGCCAAAATCAGCCTATAGCTGCTAGGACAGATCAAAATGGACAGATCCACAATAATGTCATCCTGACAGTTCTCAGACACACGTACGGACAGTTTTCTGACATGACCCGTGGGACAAATACATCCTAACGAGACTTAAGAGATGTCATTTGGACTGAGCTTATTCCAGGGACAACCAAAGGTCCTGACCCTCTTAAGTCTTGCAAAACTCTTCTGCAACCCACTCTAATGCTGTTCCGCTTAGCATCCCCCTTCCTTCGTCCTGCTGCTCCTTACCTCACCTGTCCCCATCTCCTCAGCTGGGTTCTCTCTCCTTCCTAAGCCTTTCCTATATCTTCAGCCTAAACACACACTGAATTCCTTTGCAAGATACTGCGGAAGGCACAAGAAACGTTCGCTCATCCAGGAGCAAGTTGGAACTACATCCTGGTAGCTGCAGAAGTTACCTATGGTGGCTGCCTTTGCTGGGAAGCTGCAGGGAGGCAAGCCCGTTCCTCCCCTGCCCAGAGTAAAGCCTGTACCAGGGCAGTTAGTGCAGAGTAACTTGCTCCTGTATAAGGCAGCAGCTCCCAGACCCCGTGGGTGTGCACTATCACACCGTATATAGTGCTCCCCAGAAAAGAGTTCTTCCACTTTCTGGGCAGCAGTGCTAAAATCCTTATTGTCTGAAGAAAATCCAGACCGCTAGTAAGTGAGCTGCAGTTCATTTAAGCCTTGCCAGATAGTTTTTTGGCATCCTTCCACCCTTCTCCAAGAAAAAAAGCAACTTGGAGAGTAGACAATTGACCCCGAGACTTAAAGCCTCAAACCATTTTCTGCCTAGTTCAGCTGGTGTTGGCATATGCATGGAGGCTTTTAACCCCTGGCCAGGCTATCTGGTTTTATCATTTCCCTGATCTGCAGAGAAGTGGTAGGTACACCAGAACTGTTGGATTCAAGGAGCAATTTACTCTGGGAATATCATGACTGATAAGCACCCACGTTTTCCATACACACACAAAGATACACATAATGGAGGTCACAACTGTCATCATAAAATTGCCATCCCCTGGAAGAAAGTCAGGGTAAAACTAAAAAAAAATCATCTATCAACCATGCAACCAATACCAAACAGAATCAACTAACAAAGCCAAAATAACAAAAGCAATGTGTGATGTTGTGAGTTTAAAAAAACCCCAACATTTAAAAGTAATTTACTGTTAGAGTTTTGGCATAGGCACCTCAGAGAGTAAGTAAGAGCGTTCTAATATTTTCCCTTAGAAATAATGAGTCAAATTAGAAGTAAAACAAAATATTTTTTAAATACAATAACACTTTATCCTCAACTCCTACACTTTCTTAGGGTATAAACAAGCCCTGTTAGCGTATCCATAAAGTATCTGCACGTTTCCTTCCTGCTGTTACTGTGGATGCCAAAGAAGATGCAGTGCCCTTCAGCTGGCAGTCACACTCAACATGGACTGTGGGCCAAGGGAGAAGGGTGCAAATTTTCATATGTAAAAGAAAAGTTTTTAGAAATCAGAAAGAGGTATGTCTTGGAGAACCTGTTTTTTCCTGTAAGACACTGGGTACTACAAACCAGGTACACTTTGACCAAAGCAGGCATTGGATGGGAAAGGACATTATAGCGTTATCAGTCACATTCTTTCTCCTTAGCTGTTCAGAGTTAAGGAGAATTGTTAATTCATGACCCGGCCCTGCAGATGGATAAAGTTTACACTAGGTAGATGATGGCATGAGGTTTGAAGTCTTAGAGGTCAGTTGTCTACCGGAAGCTTTTCTGCTCAGACAAATGTGAATGTATGCCAAAAAGTAGCTGGCAGAGCTTAAATTATAGTTTCCAGTAAAGATGTTGAAAGTACCTGCTAAAGTGTGTGTCTTGCAAAAATCTCTAATCCATATTTCTAAATATAAAAATGACTTCCTGTTTATTATTTTAATCTTACAACCTCACATTTTTTACTTTAAAAAGCACCGTCAACTACCCTTTTAAAACAGATGTATTTTTTTTAGACTCAACAACTTCCTATTCTATTTAATGTCACAGCAACTTTCTCTACAGTCATTCTCAGGTTTTCTTCTTGTAAAACAACAGCAGCCAAACTATAGTATGGGGAAAATCAAACTGAAAACTTTTCAGTATTTTTTCTTAAATAGGTTCTGTATTTACTGTATAAATCTATATGTGGAGCTATAAATTAATATTGTAGACAATAGATAATCTTATCTTTTGATTGTAGGTCAAATCTTCTTGAAGCCCTTATTTGTATATACAAACTCTCTAATTTGTATGTACAAAGATGAAAATTACATGGTGGTTTATGTGAGAATACTGTTCCATTTTAAAGCTAGTTATATTTTATGGTTAAATTCCATAGATTGCTTTTTGTTTGAATTCTTCCATCATTAATGTTCTTTCTAATTTCAGAAGGATGCTTTTTGAAATTCGAAACAGAACATTTTAGAGTTTTTCAGCTTGAATTTTTAAGGATTCTCAAGGCAGTGTCCAATTTTGTATATTTCTATTTAAGAAAAGAACATTCATACTACAAATAAAGCACTGGCTTTATTTGAGAAATCTACCCACATATAAATGCCCTTTGTGTCTAAGACTTGCTTATTTTTCCAAGAATAAATAAGCCTCATCTTCATTTTTGGATAACAAATATTAAGGCTTGAGAAGACACAAAGCACAAATTATTACAAACAGATCCGAGGGAGGGGATTTAAGATCTAAAACTTGCAATGCCTGGAACAAATTAGATTGTCCACGTAGATCACAAAGTGGCGGCAAAAACAATGCTAAGAGTTAACTTGAAATCAGCAGTACAAAATTAAAGGCAAGGTAAATTCACTCCAGTGAAGCTCAGAGGTGGATGTTCATATTCTGCCTTCAAAGTAAAACATCTATATTACTGCTCATGGTAAGATTACTTTCTGCTTCTCTAGACAACTCGAAGATGAGTGAGGCCAAGATGCATTCCTGTTGCATTGAGCATTGTGTGACTCACTGCATTTTCTCTCGCAGTTAGCGTGTATGTATATCGCAGCCTATGAAGACAGGAACTGCTGATGTTCACAGGAGATTTTTCCCATTTGCCTTCTAAAAAAAATAATGAAGTGAACCAAGTTGTGTGGTTTTCAAGCCCACAAAAATTGCAGTGCTCATACTACATGATGGAAAACAATAAAAATCTAAAGTACTTTTTATCTGTGGAAAGTAGTGGTCCTGATGTCTTGATTATATTTGGGCATCTGCAGTTCTATATTCCTCTTCAGCTGCATGAAAGAATAAAGTTCCAGCTATTACGGAGCTGTGATAGGCAGGTCAAGTAACAATTAGGAACAATTCACTTACGTACTCGCCACTTTGGTGAGAGTTCACAAATGCCTAAAACTGCCTGAGCCAAAACCTCAGCCCGGCATTTTTTAGGATAAAGAAGGAAATCATCTGAGCTGCTGCCATATAACATTGGCTTTCATAAGCTGTTCTGCGCCTAAAATAGCTTTACTTCCTACACCTTACAAACAGAGCTACTTTCCTTTCTACTTCTTTTTTAAAAATCTGTTTTAAAGGGATTCCTAGTGGAGCTGAACTCTCTGCTAAAGGGCAGAACGGCTTTGTAACGTGCCATCAATGCACTTTAACTTCATCGTGAAGACAAAAGTTGATTGTTGACTTGGGCTTTTGCAGGGAATGAAGTGCAATGGTTTTCCTCCTAGGAAACAACAGTTATTCTGAAGCTGTTTTATCTTTTGGAGATTGATATTGGAAACGACGTTTTTATTGGAGGAGTGAATGCTGGACCCAAAGACTGTTGGATCAGTGATTTGGTTTCACCTGAGTACTTTAAACCTGACACCCTTAGGGCGGAGGAATGGCCATTTGCATAAACTGTTTACAGGCAAGATGTCAAATATGTTTTGGGGAGTTTTGTCAAGTAAGACAGCAAAACTAAAGAAATCTTAGAGCAGTTTAGTAGTAGCCTCTCTTTCTAACAACTGTGCAAAAGTAAATGTCCATCCTTCACTTGCTCTGCCTTGAGTTTTACTAGCGTAATTCCCCTCTCTGGGCTGCAGTCATATACATACTGCTTTAAAAAGAAATGTCACCGTACTGCTTAAAATAAAACATGTTGGAATGAGTTTATTTCCTGCTTATACTTCAGACCCTGGTTTATGTTCCTTAATGAAATTGCCATTGTGTTAACAAATCATTTTACTGCACCACCTCTTCTGCAATAACAAAACCTGTGCTTTTCAACAAAAGAGCATCTAGAAATACGTGTATTTTTGGTGTGCTGAAAAAGAGTCAAAGATGCAATGTCAGCTGACAGTCAGGGTGTGGTCCAAAACTCATTGAAATTATTAGATTTTCCCCATCATCCCAGAGACTTTACTGAGAACATGAATTACTTTAGCAAGCCCTGGGTCCATCTGGTGAAATCCCTACAGAAAGGGGGTATCCCTACATTCAAATACACATCTGGACAATTTTGCGATGGATTAATTGAGTTTAAAAATTTTCATGAATTCTCATTATGTTACAAGCCTTTCAGAATCCTAATTTTATTCATCCATTTATCCTGCTTTTCTCACAAAAAAGATCCAGGAGCCACAGTATTACCTGCTTGTTTCACCAGGAAAGCACTTGGGTTTGCCTGGCTTTTTTAGAATGTTTTTTGCTTTCATTTTTTTCATTATGAAGAGAATTAAACATAGATTCAATGTTCTGTGAGATTTTCTTTCTGCAGTGAGTTAAAGTCTGAAAGGAAATGCTGTTGTTATTCTCTTGTGTGATATTCTCCTACGTGACATTCATTTTGTCGTGGTGAAGAAATGAAGCTACAAGCAGCTTTTGTGGCTTGAGCTGTTTGGGATTATTTTTACCCTTTATTTCAGCTCCTTGATCCTCAGATGCTCCAGGAACAACAAGAGCCTCAACATTGCCTGGCTTTCAGCAGTGATGCTAATATTGCTCCTTTTCAGCTCATACCCATGAGGTCTCTCGATCAGCTGAACTGCTCCATGGCTTCATCCGTCCCCTACTGAACCAGTGTTTCGCTGACCTCAGTGGGAGCTGGATCGGATCTTAATTTAATATTGGGAAGATAAATTGGGATTGATTCCAGCTGTAGTTCGTAATATGCCTTTTCATCGTAAAATGAAGATGGAAGTAAAATTAATACTGACAGTTTGTTGAATTTTGACCCCAGTCCATTTATTTTGGTCACCTCCTTTTCTCATGCCCAGCTTGAACACAGCTCTAATTCATATATTTTTTAAAAACTGCCAGTCTGTTACTCACTACTTGGTAATAGGTTATGGTCTTTTCCTTTGCCATAGTTTCCTGCTTAAGATGAGAATACCTGCATATTTTCTTCTTCTTATATTTCTTCACAGAGCTTCTAAACAAATTAAGTTCATTCTGGTTGATTTCTGGTGTTATTGGTCTGTGACAGATTGGGATATGTTCTGCACTGGGTAAATGCACACAGCCTTTCCTACCCTCTAAACTCACAGACACATTAACAGAATGAAAAGGGTTTATTGTGTAGGTTTATAGCAGCAAGCCTACATGCAAGCTGCAGAATACACAATCCATACCAGTCTTTGAATATGCTATTATGTCTCATGAGTTGTATTGTGCATGAACAGCGAGGAAAATGCAGCCTAGTGGAAAGTACCTGCACAAGTCCCCCTTTCTCCAGTGAAGGTTCTACATAGCACGTAAGTGTAGGAATTCTTCTCAGATTAGATGTCATCCAGGAAAAACAGTATGGTAGTGGTATTGATCCATACTGTGTTTCGAGAGGATATGTTACCTAAATACGATGTGGGTCAAATATTGCTTCAGTAGAGCTGATGTTAAACATGAAGGATAATTCTGTGTATAGCTTCTCATGTCTAAAGCAGTTAGTTGTCTTCTCTAAGGGAGAATCAGATTGCAATAGTTGTATTTAAATGGTTGTTGGAGGCACTAGGCTTAGGGAAGAAAAAAACGTTCCTTTTCAAAAGATGTTTCCCTGTTTTGACTGTTTTTCATTTCATGGCCACGGTGCTTTTCAGCAAACCTCATTACACATATCAACAAATCTCCTTCCTTTCAAGTTTGACAGTGTTAATAAAAAGCCAAAGTTGTGACAGTTCTGCTTGTTGACTGTCTGAGCCTTAAACACAGGAGGGAAAACACGATGCCAGTTAACCACAGGAGCTGAAAACTCAGAGAGTAAATACGGTCATTGTACTGAAGCAAGATGACTTGAAATTCTGTCCACAAAGCGGGTTGTTGCCCTCTTTGGGGACCGACTGCGGAAACTGTTAGGCTCTTGTTTTCCCTCTGTGTCCCCAGCGTTGGTGATTAGAAAGGAAATTACTAATAGCTTTTTAGGTAACTGGCAGTAGGAGGACAACTGCAACTAAGTACCCAAACTGGTTTTTCTTCTTGTTTTGTCTTGTGCTGTGGTAGGTTTATGTCAACGGGGAGTGGGTCACCAGCATTGGAGAAGGAGGCAGCTTTGGGGAACTGGCATTGATCTACGGAACACCCCGGGCCGCCACCGTCAAGGCCAAGACAGATCTCAAGCTCTGGGGCATCGACAGAGACAGCTACAGACGCATTTTAATGGTAAGTTTATGGAGAAGGGCTTGTTTATGGAGTTGACAATTTTACTTTCTCTTGTGGTACCAGCACTTCTATTCTGTGTTCAGAGTACACTGATGATAGAAGGCTGCACGGTCTATGTTTCTACATAAAAGAGAGAGGACACGACAATAACATCGAGTAACTGAATTAAGTGAACTGAAGGAAAAGCGGACAAGATTGAGCAGAAAGATGCTGAATCAGAAATGCAATTGAATAACATTATTCATAACTATTATACATGAATGAAAACCTCAGGAGGCCTCCGTTACCCACTGAAGCTATGCAAATCCTCTCCTTCTCATTGTGAACCTCAAGATGTCTTTCAGCACTATCACTTGCCTCTGCAATCTTTGTCTGAACTTGTATTATACTTTTCAAGGCAGGCAATACAAGGCAAATCCAGCTCTGGAAAAAAAAAAAAAGTCTTGGTTGGACTCCATCTTCGTTAGCCAGCACACAGCCACACGTATCATAGGATGGTAGCTGCAGAGTCCCTGCTAATGATTCATTGCTCTGCTCCTTTCAAACTCCCTGATCTCTGCAGCAAAGCTCAACAGACCTTCTGGGCACCTGGGCTGTGTGCTAGCTTATGGATTTGCTGTCGTTTCTCGAGTGGTGAGTTTATAATGGAAACTTTGACAGATAATTAACTTTAGCAATGTCATAACTTCTTTTTTATGAGTTTGTTTCAGATGTCTGTGTGCATATCTTTTCCTTCTCCGTAAAATATTCCTTTCTTTTTGATAATTAACAGACAGATAACTCTATGTAAAGCTTCTTTCTCAATAGGGCTTGTCTCTAAAAGCTGCATTGTTTCATTCTGATCTGAAGGAAATTACACTATGCTCTCAGAATAATAAAGGAGTGTGCATTTTGAGATCATCTATATTTCCAGTGGATGTCACGGATAACAGAAAAATTAGCAAAAGAATTTAGTAGATTTTACACTTAAATGATTAGTTCTTCAGCAACAGAGTGTAAGAGTGATCTTTATTTATACTGTGTGATGACTGTTGGATATCTGTATGAAATGTTGCTGGTTTTCACTCTGTATTTCATGGACTGAGTTCTGTATCACATAAACGACCATCACTCTGACATCTAGGAGAGTACATCTGATGATGGAAATGTACTCTATCCCAAAATATGCAGTCTGTCACTCCAAGACAAAATAGAGGAATAATGACGAGAAGTGTACTGTCTTCTCTCTTGTGGATAAGCAGAATCAATAGTTTTTGAATGCTTCTCAGTGCAGGGAAGCAGACCGTAGTAACTGAGACCTTTCTGCAAGGTAGTTCTAAATGACAGAGCACAAGAATTTCCTGACAGATTTAAGAGGCATACTCAGCTTATTTGTCCCATGTCCTACATGGATGCAATGGAGAGGTGTCTGGGATAACTGGTGCGATGAACTTGCATGCTGCAAGGAAGAATCCAAAGTGTAAAAGAGAAGGAACGTAGGAGGGAAATAAATGTCAGGACAAGCCACATATTCCTTGGCTTTTTAAGTATAGCTTTTTACAGCTCCCTGTAACCTTGCTACTAAAGAACTGAAGGAACAGATCCACAGGCCTTGTAGCCTAGAGGTAATTTCAGTTTTAGCATTGATGAAAATAGTGGTACCTAACATCATCCAGCCCTGTGAGCAGTTCAGGTTTGGTCATGTGTCCATTACCATTTCATAGCAGCCTTCAGAAGATGAATATTTGATGCCTAGACAGTATTTTACTAAAAGGGTTTAAGGTCCCACGTGGAAAAGACTGTGTTTTTAATGCTAGCTTTAGACATACATACAACTTGAATATTACAGATATACTTCTATTTGGTGTAGTGCTGCGTGCTTTTCAACTTAATTTGCATATTCTCTGAACTAGTGACTGCTGTACCTTACCTAGCAAGCTCAGTTTCTGCAGTTGATGAGACTTGAACTTAACACGGAGGTTTTTTCTCTCCCTCTCTCTCATGTTTTTTTTACAGTTGGGGCCATTAAAAATTGGTGGTCTGTTGCATTACATTAGATACCCAGACAGTGTAATTATAATATTCCCAATACTTAGACAGGAAATATTCCAGGTAGCGTAGTGAATTCATTGCTGCAGGTATAGAAAATGTCCAATTTTAAGTGCTGTCCATGGTGAATGCAATTTATCCATCCAGACTACATGAATTCTGTCGTCTTTTCATTTATTTGTAGGTGCAGCATGGATAATTTCTTTGCTGTAGGTGAAATGAGACACCTGTCTTTGTGCATTCGTGTGAGGGCAGGTTACAGTGGCTCTCTGCACATTTCCTCAAGCCCAAAAATTAATTACATCATGTTTCAGTGGCTACATTTCATACTTGAAGCTAACTCCACCATCACACAACTGCTTTTGCTGTACTCAGTTTCAAGATGCAGTAGTAGCCGCCTTTCAAGTCCCAGAAACATGGTTTCCTGCCATTTAGCCTCTAACCTTATGTTTTTAGAAAGCTGCTGGATATTTTGGATGTAGAAATGCTTCTGCCTTTAAATAAGAGGTAGTAATGCTTAGGATATCTTTTGAAGTATATCATTTAAGATGATTTTAAAACTGAGGGAGCATTTTTTTCTTTTTTATTTTCTGTTTGCAAATACTTTTGTCCAAGGGATCAATGACCTTTTTCTCCCAAAGGTATGTTTTTTTTCTGTAGTCAGATAAAGCCCCTCCATAACCTGAAATAGTTTTTTCTTTCGTCTGCATTGCTTCCCAGCCATGACCAGCCTCATGTTTTCTCAGTCTAGTGTTGAAATTTTATTCAAGTTGTAAATATTTACTTGCAAATCGTGCCTTCAGATCCACACTTGCCAAAAAGATTTTATCCTGTCATGAGACACTTGACACTTATTTCTCCTTGCAGGCTCTGTTTTGGTTCTTTGCTTCACATTTAATAATTTCTAGTTTTTATTTCTGCTTAGTGCCATTTTCCCCACTTACATGTCTCATCGATCCTGTCTGGTTTATGGTATGAATAAAATGCATCTCAGGAGGTTTGGGAGTTCGGGTTTTCCTTTTTTTGGATGGACAAAGCCTGATGCAAAAAGTTCCTGCTGGCTCTTAGTTACACTTGTCATCCATTTATTATTTAGCCTGTCCCAAAAGAAGTTTGTTAAAACAGACATATTTCTTTATATTTCATTGTCTCAGCTTAGGTATCCTGATGGCTTGAAGGTCACATTCAAGTTTGTTTTAGCAGCTGTGATGATTGTAAATGTTGGGATAGTTCTTTTTGTTGAGATTTGCAGTGAAATTGCTTGACTTTCACTGCAGTCCTTGACAAAGTATTATACCATGAAATTCATTGTACTAGATGGATTACAAAAAAACACTTCAACATCTTCCCCCCTCAGTACACTCACAGATTATCTGTCCATCTGTGTGTTCCATTTATTTTATAAAATTATCTGTGCTGAGTTGCATACTTTTCACTCTGTTGCAAATCTTTCATGTATATGTTCTCTGTGTGTGCACACAAGCACACACACACATTTATGTGTACATTCTGTATTTATTTACTTACATTCTTCTGGGAGAGATGCAAAGGAATTTTTTTGCCATCGGATTCTCATGTAATTCAGTTGCTGAAATGTTGCTGCTCTCTTCTTTGCAATTGGGATTCAAGAGCATCACAGAGCGGGGAACATCCCAGGGTAGTACAATATTTGTATTCTAAATATAGCAAATACCACAAATACCAGAGAAGCAAATGTCTGTATCCCAACATCAGATTGATCCCCCAGACAATTCAGTTCCCAGACTGAGGAAATTTGAAGTATTAATTTCTTGTAATTTCTTCTTTAAGGCAGCTTGATTTGGGATTATTTAACTATCCTGTAGTTCCCATGGTCCAAGATACCTGGGTCTGAGAGCAGAGTTGCATGAGATACAATACTTTTTGCCTATTTGGCAAACATTGCTCGCAGAAAGTGGGTTGTAATATTGGGATTTAAGTAATGACAAATCAAGGTTAGTCAGTTCCTAATGTTACACCTCATTTTATTTATGCTATTTTGGCTTTGTTTTACCATCTTTTCACAGCTTTGAACCTGAGAACAAGTTCTTTAACAAGTGCCTTTTTCCTCTCAGACAAAATAAGTCAGCAGGACTTTGTGTTTCCATAAAATGTAGGTTGCATGGTGGTTGAAACATAAAGGAAATCCAAAGCCTGCAATCCATCCGACATCTGTGCAATGTAGCACCGGGATCTTGTGGGCTATTTTGTTTTCATGGCCAGTATGCATGGTGACTCTTTCTTTCATGCTCCTGTAAGAATGTACACCCAAAGCATCGTTCAATATCAGGTTTACACAGGGATTAAATGGGGCTGGAGCAGTCCAGAAGGCCATTCCGACACCTCCTGCCAGCATAACTCTTTTATTTGAAACTTGAGCTATGCTTTGCCTTTTGGTAGCCATTTGTTTGGCTTCTTACTGAAAGTGGGAATTTCTAGGAAGGACTTGATCAACTCCAGCCAGCCCGTCTGCGCACCTGAAAAAATGGAGGAAGAAAGAAGACATGAAGAGTGCTGGAGGGATAAAGCAAAGAGGTTAGCAGAGGGGAAGAAAGACTGGACTGGAGGAGTGGGAATAAAAAATAGAAGAAAACATGGAAAGTGAAGAAGGGGCAGTTGGAAAAGAAATGCAACAATCCTATTCAACAAGACCTGTTATAATCTCTGGGACATTCATTTTTCCTAGCCTGTGTATTGCTTAAGCTAAGCCTAGGGCTTGCTACATTTTTAAGTGTCCTAAAACTGGCTTTGTGAGCTCTTTTCTGGGTAGATTCAGCAAATGCAAGTGATCTCGTTTCTCCTTGGGACTGTTTCAGGGAGGAGCACTGCAGCTTAGCATATTAACGAGTCTTCTAGGAACCACTGTCTTTAAGAAGATGAGCTTGTGCATGACAGCTCAGAACTGGGGAGAAAGTGAACAAAGGAAAGGGGAGAGAGAGAAGCAGCGACTATTGAAATAAGATATTAATAGGTTAGAAAAAGCAGAATTAATAAAGACTTTTTAAAACATGCCATCAAGAACCCTGCCAGTGCAGAATTATTCATGTACATTTACTATTGTTTTTATCTGGCTCAAGCAGTAAGATTTCTACTGCTTCCCTTGGGAAACTTTTCTGCAAGAGAATAATTCCTAAGTTGGGAAAACTTTTTTGATATTCATCTTAAATTAGATTTTCTTAATTTTCTCCTATTACTTTGAGCTATGTCAAGTTATGCTGTACTAAATTGCCCTCTTTCTGTCATATATCTGTAGATGATTATCACTGTCTACTTAAAATCCTTGCAACAATGCATACTAGCTATGAGCATGACATACCTATGATCCCAGCGTTGAGCTGACCTATACAGGCTGAATTTGTTTTGCTCCTTCCTTACCAGCTCTCCCCAAGTGTTTTAGCATTTCTTCAGGCTCTGTTTGGTTTGGGAGCACTTTTCTGGAGAAGAGGCACCCAGGCAGAGTATAGTGCGCCAGGCCCTGTCACATCCGAGCCATGGAGACGGAGCCTCTAAACTTCATTCCTGGATGATGTCTTTCAGTATACAGACCAAAATAGCCTTGGCTGTATTCTTGTTGCAGTCTGATGTTGCAGACCAGGTCTCACCTACTGTCTGTAAATCTCTTTCAGCTTTACAACTTTCCAGTCTTCTTCCATTTGTTGAACAGCTGTGCTTTGGATTTTTTTTTTTCTTTGAATTTCTTAGCTGTATTTTCCAAACAGAAGCTAGTTCTATTATTTTCTACTCCCATTTCTAATGTCTCTAGGTCCTTTCTTGTTATTTTCCTGTCCTGGCAAGCTTTCATAGTATCTTCTAGTCTGCAGATATAGTTACTGTCTGATTTGTTGCTGCTTCTAGAAGATCCATGAAAATATTGCATAAGAACAGACTTAGCATATGTCCAAGGGAGCACGCTGGTTAACACTTCTGCAGAAATTACTGTAAGGGTAGTAGAAGAGGTTATGATGGTGTTCATACTCGTGGCCTCAACAATTTGGGTAAAGCAATTAGACCAAATAAAACAAATATAAAAAGGACATCAGGAGTCAGAGGTGACATTATGCCTGTGGGAGGGGATGAGAGGGGAATATTAGGCTGATCAAGGAAGGTGGGAAGTAGGCATGTTCTCTCTCTGTTTTGTGGGGAGGAAAAGATGATTAATACCAATAGAAATAAGCACATGCTTTGGTTGTTTGTAAGATTTCTACTGCTGCGTTGGTTTTAGCTTATATTAGTGTTCTCTCAAAATCTCTTCCCCGCACTGTGCTTATGAGCAGGAAAACACACTCAAGTGAAAACAATGTGCATGAGGGTGAGCCAAGCTTCTCCTTTCTGGAAAAGAAATTGGGATGTGGTTGTGCCGATTGGGATCCAGTCTTACGTGCTCTGAAAATGCAGAGGCAGCTTCTATGCCTGCCTGGACACCCTTAGGTGAAGCTTTGCTGTTGGGTGGCGCGTGCTACCCTCAGGGCTGTTGTTTGTCTCCTCCAGGAGAGATGGAGGGTTGGATGGAGCCATCCTGCAGGTTGAGTCATGAGCCATCAGTTGAGTGACCTTGGGTTTCAGTGCATGTGCTGGGAAATAGGACTCCTAAGCCTCAACCACTAGTTCTTCCCTAGGCTCTTGTTCTCCCTTGCCTTGTCTGTGGTATCATTCTGAGACATGGGATATTTGCATTAAGTGGAGTCCCACTGAGATTCTAGATACTATCACAATACAAAAAATGATAATAGCACATTTAATTAATTCTTTCCATTTCAGTTTTGCTTTTGCACTTGTCTTCACAGTGAATTCTGTACCGCTGCCCTGGCTTAGTTTAGCCAAGACCTAACACACCCATTTTCCTGTAGGAAGTGATGGGCTCTTGCTCTCCGGGCCAGGCGGGATGCCTGCAATTCTTACCTTCCTGGGTCTTGTCTGTGTCTCTAAATACTCGAAGCTGTGGTCAGGCGTCACTTATGGCTACTGATTACTGCTTCTTAAAATTCATCTGTGTCCGCAAGTCATTTAAAAAGCATTTTCCACATCTGTCCCTGGGTGCCCCAGCCCATCAAACTAAACCACCAATCTGGTTTTCCACAGCTGTCAATTTTGCTGGTCTCATTTCCACTCGATTGCAGGGAGGAAAGCAACAACTGCGCAGTGTCCAGTTTTCCATTCTTTGTCTCGCAGCGAGCTGTCAGGATCTGGCGTGGTTTGCAGAGCCTCCTCTGTTTGAAGTTCTTTTTTTTTTTTTCTTTCTGGCACTTCAAATGCTCTCGGGGGCCCCCGAGGTTGAGAACCAGGTTTGTCAGACAGGGAGGTCAGACAAGGGTTACCGATGCTATCGCTGAGAGGCGAACTGTCATCACCAGATTTGGAAATTATGAAGAAGGTGTGGAAGGGGAGACCTCGGTAGCTGGTGCTGCTGCTGATCCAGCGATACCTGGGGACAGTGGCAGCTCCTGGCGGTGCTGTGGCTGTTTCGGGGCAGGGGTGGCCCCAGGAGAGTGGTGTAAATGGGAGCTGTCCCCAGAGGAGAGCACCCAGCAGCTTCTCCTGATGCCAAAGCTTGTTGATGTTGGTGGAAGGATTCCCACGGCTTTGGTGGTCATTGGATCAGCCCCGCTTGCACAATGCATGTAGGAAGAGGGACAGTGCTTAATTCTTAGTTGTTATATCATGCACTTGAGTACACCAGCCTTTCCCATTTTCATACTTTCATACATTTCTGAATGCTTTGACAGCGGAGGGTAAAATGTTTCTTCTCCTTTTCCTTTGTCTATCCCCACTTTCTGCCTCTGCTTTCAGCACTTACCAGTGCTCACTCGAAGGAGGAGTAGAGAAGTGGCTTCTTCTATGGCAGATACTGACATTTGCTTCTGTTTTCTCTGCCCAGTGTACAACTGAATGCCATCTTCATTCCCCCTTTCTTCAGAATATGAGTGTATCATCTGTATGCTGTAGATCATCTCCTGCCTTGTAGATTTGACTAGCAGGTGCCAGGCAGCCTTTGACATCCATGGGGAATCTGCTCAGGCAGAAACGGTGTGGGCTGTCATAGAACAGTGTGAAATAAACTGCACGGTACCAAGGAAGACCCTGGAGTTCCTCTTGAGTACCTGGGAAGGTTTTCAAGTCATTTGTGTCACTGCAGGAGGAGTTAAGGATGAATTAATTGTTTTTGTATTGGTAAAACTGCATTGTATTTATTCATACCTGAATCTCCTTCAAAAATGCGTGCTGGAATGGCTAGTTATGGTTTCTGTCTGTGGTGATCAAACACTGTGTAAGCAGAAGATTTCTCAGTAATTTATCACGCAATAAAATCTTATTAGAGTGGCAATGACTGTGCTGGTGGCTGCATATACATTGATGGATTGTTGCTTCAAAATGCTTCAAAATGCTTAAATCTTGTTAAAATAATAAATAGAAATATGTTGCTCAGCAGTAATAATACATACAACACTGTACAGAATATAAACCAGGCTTACAGATAAATGCTTTTGGCATTAAAGAGGTTTTAACCTAAAAGGATGGGACCCATGAGGGGGACATTTTAAGTTTTATCCTACTTTGTAATTGTAAATTGCCTTCTAGCAGGGCCTCATTTGTAACAAGATATATATTGAATTAGCTAAACAGTTAATTGATGAAGCTCTGGCTTTAAAATGAGTGCCTGTAAATAATGGATACAATTCATCCTCAGTGTCCAGTAACACCAGTGAAGTCAGTGAAATTACACCAGGATTGAATTTGATTCCTTCTGTCTTTGCTTATCAGCAATACAACTTGCCCAGACATTTTATGGGGAAGCATTTGCCTTAGGCTGTTTTTACTGGCTATGCTTAAGATTTGGAAGGGGAGGGGAAAAAAAAGAGCAGCTCTAGGAAGAAATCACAAAAATACTTTGTGTATTGTTCTACCTCCTTTTTCTCTCTCCTTTAATAACAGGGCAGCACGCTGAGAAAGCGGAAGATGTATGAAGAATTCCTGAGCAAGGTCTCCATTTTGGGTCAGTTGCCCTTTGGATTTGCATGTTAGTTCCTCTGTTATATGTGTTGGCGGAATTAATTTTCGTCTTTGATGGCACGATGAAAGCAATGGTGGTCAAACAGAAGGTCTCACGGTTGTGTTGTTTCCAAAGCAATGAAAGTGTAAAGGGCCCTTTTTAGGACTTGTTTTTCTCATTCTTTAATATGCACTGAACATTTGTTGGAAGGGCAAATGTTTCCTTAAATATGGGAGCAGGCACGCACTGGTAACTTTTTGGTAGCTGCTGTTGCAGTAGAGATCATATGGATAGAGAAGAAAGCAGTGCAGAGATATGAATTTGTCATGAAGTCTAGTTACATCCTTCCAGGTGACAGGTGAGAAGCTTTTTCCTGTGAGAATACTGTATTTATGTGCACTAAACAAACTAACCTCACAAATCAAAACGGACTGACTTTTTTTTTCTTCTGTGTATTTTACAGCCCCTGTCTCACATTCTTAAAACATCTGTTTAGCTTCTTGCCCTTGGATTTTGTTTCCCTTTGATTAATGTGATAGCCACGAAATTTGGACATGTTCTTGATGGCCTTCAGTAGGAAAAACAACAAACCCATAATGCCTGACCAATCAATCACCATTAGGAGAACAAAAGTTTCTAATAAGGAGGACAGTGTTAGACAGTACAATGAAATGTTGATGCTGTAGGAGAAACATCATGTTTCTGCTGGGGCTCCTCTGAAAAAAAAAAAAAAAGCAGTACAGGATTAATTTGCTGTATAATTAAAATACTTATATTTCTATTTAAACAATTTTCTTTTCTTGTTTATGGTATTCCTCTACCATTTGAGCTTATTTACCTGAAATATGACAGTCTTAGTGAAAATACACTTGAATTTCTGAGAGGTGCTATGCATGAGATTTTCAGTTACATTTGTATGCTTAAAGTAGGGCTAAATATGTTGCTCACTTATTAATGAAGTTTTCATAATGCCTTATTTTATGCTTAACTTAAATCTTCCTAAATTAAGAGCACAGATTATGCCAAATTACAGTGAGTATTTCAAGAAGAAAGGATCTCTGCACCTGCACTAATGAGAAGCAATTACGAGACGTCTCAAAACAATTTCAGAGTAGAAAGGTTATTCAAAGATGCGCTTCCTTAAACATGCGGTTTGCAATATAATTATATCCTAGTTTGTAGTATTGCTTTTCAATCTCAGTAAAAAATGAGGTAGGACTTCAAGACTTGAACTTTTTTTAAGTATGGAAAAGCACCAGACAAAATAACGCATCATTTGAGGAGCATCGAGAATTCAGGTGAAATGTGTAAAGATCTATTTCACACATCTAAAAAGTAGATGACAGCTGGGAAACAGAAAGGTATTTTAGAAATCTCAACACAGCACTGAGAAGTCAACTTCACTTCATGCCTTAATGTGGTCAGAACTTGGCGATTTTGTGGTGGAAAAACCTCTACCTGCATCTTATATAGGGTTTTTCAAAGCTTGCGTAGTGTCTGTAGCTAGCCATATAACTGTAAGAGCAACTTATTTATTTTTTTAAAGCTAAGGATTTTTTGGATTATCAGTAGCTGCTTATAGTGTATTGAATAAGATAGGAGGAAACTAATTGTTTAAAATCTTTCTTCTGGAGTTTAATTAAAAGTAAAGCCATGAATTGATACATACAATATAGAAATTGCAAAAATTGCGTACGGTCTACTTTATTTGATGCTTGACTTTAACTCTGCAACTAAAGAGTTTGTCGTGTACAATTTTCTATATAATGCTCTGTTTGCAAGAACCATTAACCAATCTATTTGTACTGGTACAATTCCCTTAGACCAAAGAGAGACACTTCATGACTACAGCTAGAATTAGCTTTGAATTTTTCATAAAGCCAACTGAAGAAGAAGTTTCAAGAGACTCTTTCTTTCCATTGTTAATTACTGAGTTCGTTCTTTTTTTTTTTTTTAATGAAAAAGCCTACTCTAGTCTGTATGAAAGAGTTTTATGCTTACTTTTAGTCAAACAGAGCACTTTTTGAATGTCGCATGGACAATATGGGCTTGGTCTTTGATATTAATGCTTCTGCAGCAAAAGCCACAAATACACCAGGAAAGTGCATTAGTGATTATAGGTGGGGAAAATATTAGAAATAATCATTTCCCAAACAGCGACAGAAAGTGGCTTAAAAACAGGAAGACGTACGTGTGTCAGGCAACTCAAAACTTACCTTTGGTGCATTGATCACTTCAATCTGGTTTTGTTACCAGACTCAGTGTGCACTTCTGAGCTCAGCCAAAAGGCTTTTTAACTTTTAAAGAACAACTCTTTCACCCTCACACAATACTTCTAAGCAATATTTTGAACAAAATGGGAAAACTAGAGTCTGAGAGAACAGCCCAAGTCTAATCCTGGTGTCAGGAGCTGTGTCTTGACTTACCATCGTTCAATATTTCATATTAAGTAAGAATCAGCAGAGCTCTAGTACATGAATTTTAGCCCAGCCTTTTGAGGCCATGAAGGTTATATCATTGTATTATCTGTTTCTTTTAATAACTTTTAAACCTGTCACTTCTTTCAGTCAAATCTGACAAAAGTACAGAAGTTCAAATACAACTAATTGTCTGAATTCTCATGCAAATGGGTAGAGGAGAGAGACAAAGGTTGGCACCGCTCCTCTCCCGGAGGGTAGGATTAGCACATGGAGGAGGAGGAGGGCAGGGGGACAGCCAGCAGCCCTGGACTGGCCGCTGTGCGGGCCGTCTTTTGCCATGCAGGTATCACAGGGGATTTGTGGCAGCTGCAGGTGGGTGATAGGACGCAAAGGCACAGGAACCAGGCTGTATTAGCTCCATTACTCATAAAACAGACTGTTAATATTTTCTTATTGAAGTTTACTTTGAAGTTTTATAACTTTTCTCTCTTAAGTGGGGGAATGAAAAGAAAAACACTTTGTAAGCCATCCCACTGGTCAAAGAAACAGAGGTGCCACTTCAAACATCCATACTGAGCCTCTGGTCCCACTGCCGCCCGTGCTACCAGGGTCTTGCCCTTGGCTTCAGTGCTGCATGGTCTCACCCACGGGGGAAGAGTCATCTTTTAGATTGGCACTTTTGCATCGCTTATCTAGCGGGCCATCAGTAACCGGCTGAGAGCAACTCTGATGAAAAGACAGTAGGACTTGTTCTGACATCTGGTGTGGGATGTGGTAAGAGAGGATCTCGGTGCTCCCATATCGCTGGTATCGCCAAACAGCTCTTAGGCTGCTCCAATCTGCTGCACCATCAGTGCAGTGCAGATCAGATCACAGGCGCAGGGAACCGGAGCCAACTTTTCCTGTCCAACTTTTAAGATTATTATCTGGGTGATTACTAAAGTCTAAGACACAATGAATTAATACATTCATGTTTCCCAACTGGAGGTTTGTGCAAAGTGCCTGGATGAAAGAAATGTTTCTTTTATAACAGAACTAGGCATAGCAGAGCTGTCAGTTTAGATACGAATCTTCAGCCAAAGTTAGAGTCTTTTTGTAATAAAGCTTTATGATCTTCAATATTTTAGAGTCCCTGGACAAATGGGAGCGGCTGACAGTGGCTGATGCACTGGAACCTGTCCAGTTTGAAGATGGAGAAAAAATTGTTGTGCAGGGAGAGCCCGGTGATGACTTCTTCATTATTACAGAGGTAAGGTTGGCATCCTGATAAGCTCTGTCATTTCTTGGTAAAGATCAAGACTTTGTATTAAAGACATTTGGGTTCAGTTTAATCTCTTACTTCAGCATAAATCTGAAGTAACTCCACTAAAGCCAGGAGAATTGCTCAAAATTCAAATGAATTCAGACGCCAGTTCCATGGAAATGTCTTAAGTGGGACGATCCCTGATTTCCAGTAAATCGAAGACAGAGAGGAATTTTGAGGTGTGTCTAGTATCTTTACTGTTTGAAGGTTTGTTTTCTGCATGAGATTTTTCTTGTTTAAATTGCCAGTACTTTAACAAGGCTGGCGAGCCACACAGTGCATTGATCATTGTTCCCAAAGGGACTTAAAGGGGAAATCACAAACGAACATCTGTAAACTGGAGCAGGAGACCTGATCTGAAAATGGATAATTTGTTCTTTGTTTTGCCTTAAACTCAGTCCAAATGGCTGAGCCATTTTCCTGTTTACTCTCGCACAGGCAGACAGATCTGTCAGGCAGTTGAAAATGCTGACATCTTTTGGGGAGATTATCTGACACTTCAGTTCCACCATCTCACTTCTGCAAACAGATGCTGACAGGGTTTTTCCTCCCTCTCTGACATAAATATTTGGATCCTTGGTATCTCATGCAAATACCTAGGCGCTGTGATATAACAAGTTATAAAAAGGTATTAGAGAGACTCAGGCTAAGAATAACAAGACAGCATTAGGATATGATTGTATATGTATTGAAGTAGGAGCTTTTCAGTACCAGCTGCGAGTGTTCTTACACAAATCTATAGACAGGGAATGAGCAACATATGGCTGTGTGGTGACAGTTCAAGTGCAAATCCCAGGCCAGATGTTACATGGCCAGCAACAAGGCAGTGGTGGAACAGGAGCTAGGAGGTAATCTGAATCCCTCACTGTGGGAGGAGGGTCAGATGGATGTAAGGAAACTGGTATCATTGTGTTGCCTTGGGATCCAGTTGTATGTATACAGAATACGTCTCTGGCTCCATCAGGCTGCTGTGTTATGATGTGATTTAGGAGAAAAGATACCCAGCCTCGCTCAGGCGATAAAGGGCTTGTACAGTGCCCATTCCAAATGGCTTAGAGGCCAACAGGTTTTTCTTTGATTGCTCCTTATCTGTGGATTTTTGGACAGGTGCCTCTACCCAAGGCAGCCAGAATTTGGTTCATAATCAATATCTGACACTTAAAATTCCATCCTTCTTTCCTCTTGAGTGTTGGAAATACCTATTTGATTTATGAACATAGTTTCTCTTCTGATGCTCACAAAATTGTCAGTGCAAATAACTGCACCTGTATATCAACACAGTTAGACGCTTAAGGAACTTCAAATATGTGACAAGCAGTGCCCCTTCAAAACAATAGTGTCAGAATAAAGGAGACTAGGTATTAGATTTTTTTTTGTTGTTAATAAGATATTTAGTATATAAGAAAAAATTAGGAAATATAACCTTTTTTCAGAAATATGGAATTTTTATTTCTACTAGTGTTACTAAGTGTGCTGTTATTCCTTGCAGCAGCATGAGACTAGGAAAACCTAATTTTCTTAGCCATCAAATCCCATGTGGAAAATTGGCAGCTTGCTTAAGAATTACCAAGGGCCTTTATTTTCCCCCTTTTGATGGAACAGCTGTTAAGACTTGAATGGGTAGAAAAGTATTAACCCTGCATACTGCATAATCATAAAGTATCTGCTCACCTCGCCCTTCCATTATAAATGTAACCTAGTTTCTCACTTTGGAAATTGCCTATATTTTTCTACATTAAAGAATGAGCATCCAGTATCAACTATTTCTTGTGCTGCAGCAGTATTTGTGCCCGCTCACACACAGTTTAAGCTTTGTCTTTTAAATCTGATTTCACAGGAGTTTACATCTTTGATGTTAAACTTTTCTGCAGCAGAGCTGATGCAAGCCGCCAGGAACACATTATGCTACAAACTGGTTGAAAATAGTTTTGGCTGGTTTGTTGTCATAATATGTTGAAAAGTCATTAGCTTCTTTCATATGTTTTTTGATGTTTGTGGCCTTATAATCCAAAACACTCAAAATGCAGCCAATTTGTTTGGCTGCTATATATGCAGAAACCATTTCATATATTACCAGAATGCAGCCTCCTTTGGAGTACAATATGTCCAGTAGTACAAAGCTAAACTTTGCCACACAATTTTTGGGCAAGCTACTCATTTATTATAAACCATGTCATTCGTGGCATGCCTTAGACAAATCAGTTACCAATTTATAAAGCTGTGGTGCACCAGCATCACTAATACTGGTTCCAAGTGGGATCTTGTGACTGTTATCATTAAAAGGTTCTCTAAGACACCCAAGACTCACACATGGATTTTAAATTGTTAGCACAATTTTGTATGAACTTCATAAATTAATCATTTATTTCTGGTTAGCCTGCAACGGTGCATTCCTATGTGACATCCCTTTGCGATACCATCTTTTAAATATATTGGTCCTGCAGAAGAACATAGCCTGTAAGTGAATTGGCACCTTCAGGATTTGCAGACTGAAATACAACCATTAAACACTTTTGAAAGGGAGACTTCTAGCCTAGGTGATGATCAAAAAACAATTCCTGCTTTAAGCCAGGATACCATCGTAGTTAGTATGGACAAGAATATTTAGTCACCCCTTTCTGTCAAGCAAGCACATTCATCTTTTCCCCTTTTTTCTTGGTATAACCTTTTTTCATGGCTTTCTGTCCACTGTCTTATCTCCAGTTTTGCACAGATTGTAGCCGGGTGCAGGTTATTGAGGTGCAGGCTGTATGCATGAAAATGCTACAGTGCCCCATGGAGAGCAAGGCTGC